GAATACAACCAGACCCTGGTTCTTTCGCTGCCGAGAATGGGCAGGACAGGGCCAGCATCCTTCTCAGGAAAACACCTCCATTCAGCTACGGCCTGAGGTAAATGGAAGTCCTAAGCCCCACTTCCTTCCCACTAGAAAGCAGAAAACTCATCCGACCATGACTGAGCTCTGGGATCCAAGTTCCACTTGATCTATACAAGAAGAGTGTGGACACAGATTGTAAGGAATGAAGAAATAGTCGGAGGGCGCCTTGAATACTATGGACCAAACGTCCTCCATGGCTCTTCCTAGCCATCTGCTAGTCTTTTAGCTTTTTTTTCTCATTCAGAGTCCACAAAATGTGAGCTATAAAGGACTTGAGTGTATTCAAATCAAATCTTTTTTTTTTTTTAGTTTTTCAAGACAGGGTTTCTCTGTAGCTTTGGAAGCTGTCCTGGAACTAGCTCTTGTAGACCATGCTGGCCTCGAACTCACAGAGATCCACCTGCCTCTGCCTCCCAAGTGCTGGGATTAAAGGTGTGTGCAACCAACGCCCAGCTCAATTCCTTTTTTTATAATTTGAAATTTCCTTCTTTTTTTTTTTTTTGAGACAGGGCCTGTCCTGTGGAACTTACTCTGTAGACGAGGCTGGCGTCGAACGAAGAGATCCACCCGCCTCTATCTCCTGAATGCTGGGATTAAAGGTGTGTGCCACCACCGACCGACAAAAATTTCTTTTTTAAAAGATTACTTTTATTTTTTTTGTGCATTGGTGTTTTGCGTGTCAGATTCCCTGGAATTGGAGTTACAGTCGTGAGCTGCTGTGTGGGTGCTGGGGACTGAACCCAGGTCCTCTGGAAGAGCAGCCAGTGCTCCTAACTGCTGAGCCACCTCTCCAGTTCCAGATCCTTCCTTTTAAGGAAGAAGAAACTGAGGCCCAAGGTCACACAGCCAGAGGGACAAATCAAGGACACGAACCTGTTTTTGTAGACTTCGGTCAAGGGTTGTTTCCAGTAAACCCCTGGTGCTCAGCAGGGGTCTGAGCACCAGTCCCCTTCGGTTTTTTTTCCCACTTGTGACCCCCATCCTCACCTATCCAACCCTTCTAGCCTTCAATTCCCACCGGACCTCTCCGACCCGCAAAGCCCCGCGCCGCGCCACGCTCACTGCAGCAAGGGTTTCTGCAAATGCTTCAAACCTCCCACCCACCCAATTCTTCCCAGCTCCTGGCTCGCCCGCCCGCCGCCCGCTCCAGGCTGCACCCCCGCCCTCGTCGGGCCCGCCCGCCGCAGGCCCCGCCCCTCGCCGGCCCCGCTTCCCCGCCGAGGCTGCACACACGCCCCGGCCCTCTCACCGGTAAAGCCGCTTGGTGTGGAGGACCTTTGCTTCAGGCTCGCTGCTCTCCACTGGAGGGGGCCCTTGGCTCATGGTGCCTGGGCCCGGGGGCACCTCCTGGTCACTGGCCCCCGCCACCCACCACTGGTTCCTCCGCTGCCGTCTCCAGCCGTAGCCACAGCAGCCACCGCCGCCGGCCCTGCTCGGCCGCCATCGCTGTGAGGCGGCTGCTTGAGATGGCTCCTCCTCCGCCTATCAAATCTCGCGATAGCTGCCTCCAAGCTGCGGACCAGTGACCGCTCTACCAAATCTCGCGAAAGATTGTTTTCTCTCCCGGAAGTTACCCGAACTAATTCGGGGCAGCATGGCTTCTGCCGGGTTTCTCTGAAGTCCTTGAGGAGACCTGTGTTGTCAAAGGTGTCAGGGAAACCGGGCCTACCGGAGCAGGCTTGTCGTTCGAGCACTTAGGGAGTCCAGGCAACCTGCAGCAAGTTCCCAGCCCGGCTGCCTAGCGAGGCACTTTCAGAAAATAAATAAAATAAATTTAAAAAGAGCGCGCTGGCGAGATGACTCAGCTGATACAGGCGCTTTGCCCAAACTCGGCCCCCGGAACCCGCATGGTGTAAGGTGAATCGACTCGAGCAGTTTGTCCTGACCTGCACACACACACACGCATGCACGCGCACCATGGCATGATAAAGTTTTCAGGGGAGAGAAAAAGACTAGAGAGAGTGCTCAGTTCTAAACGGAACAGCTAGGGACTGGAGAAATGGCCCAGCGGTTAAAAACACTGGCTGCTTTTAAAGAGAACCTGGTTTCGATTCCCAGCACCCACATGACAGTCAGTTCAAGGAGATCCAACTCCCTCATACAGACACTTGCAGGCAAAATACCAATGCACATAAAATAAAAATTAATTAACAAGACACAAATCATTGCAGAAGAGGGGTAGCGAAAAGATTTGAGGGGCCTGAGGTAGTATAGAGAAGAGTACATCAAAACATGTTTGCAAAAAAAAAAAAAAGCCAGGCGTTGGCGGCCCACGCCTTTAATCCCAGCACTTGGGAGGCAGAGGCAGGCGAATCTCTGTGAGTTCGAGGCCAGCCTGGTCTACAGAGCAAGTTCCAGGACAGCCTCGAAAGCCACAGAGAAACCCTGTCTCGAAAAAAACAAAACAAAAAAAACATGTTTGCCTAATCCCAGCACTAGGGAGGCAGAGGCAGGCGGATCTCTGTGAGTTCGAGGCCGGGCTGGACAGATAGCCTCCAAAACAATACAGAGAAACCCTGTCTCGTAAAAATAAAAAAAAAAAAAAATTAAAAAACAGTGTTTGCCAGACATGACGGTGCTGTGGGACACAGGAACGCACAGCTCCTGTGACTGCATGCACACTACCAAGTCAGCCAAAATGCCCGCGTGAATGTGGGGAGGAGCCCGGGAAGTGATGGCTGGGGCAGGGGGGCGGGCGCAGTGGGGTTATGTTTGTCTGTTTGTTTAAGGAATTCCTCCCAGAACACTACATCCATTTCTGTGTATACATGTGTGGTGGCATGCATTTCACTGCATTCTTGTGGTGGTCAGCGCACTTGGGGAAGCCACGTTTCTCCCTCCACAATGCAGTTCCTAGGGGTCAAACTCAGGTAATCAGGCTTGGTCATAAGTGCCCATACCTGGTAGGCCATCTTGCCAGCCCTATTGCTTTCTTAACCATAAACCTAAGCTAAACGCAAGGCGTTTAGGGTCCTGCATGTGTCTTCATCGTCATGGCAATGCACACACCACTCTGCTCCTGCCTCCAGCCACCAAGCCCTCTTTCCATTCCCAAAACAGTATCTGTTGGCCTTTGACTTGCGGTTCCTCCACAAGCAACTCCTGAACTCCCATTGGGTTTTGACTTAAATGTCACCTTAAAGGGGCTTTCTGTACTGAAATTCTCATACTGATTCAGTGTGATTTGTTGTTATTATTACTGCTTTGATTTTGATTTCAAGACAAGATTTCTGTGTAGTCCTGGCTGTCCGGGGATTTTCTCTGTAGACCAGACTGACCTCGAACTCACAAATTTCCGTCTGCCTCTGCCTCCCCAGTGCTGGGATGGAGCAAAGGGATGCACCACCACTGCCAGGCTGTGTGAATTTATTTTTTTACCCCAAAGCTAGAAACCTTGATTGTCACTAGTTCTTTTCTGTACCTATGCCTAAAATAGCACTCGTTTGTTGGAATTTTTTTGTTTTTGCTTTTCAGATAGGGTCTCTTCTATGTATCTCTGGGTGTTATGATAAAGTGTGGTGAATCTTTCGAGGATTCCATGGCAGACGAAGGTAACCGAGGCGGAGGAACAAATATGCCAGGCAGACCGCTTAGTGAGACGCTTTATTAGAAAGAGGGAGGCACACTCCTTTAATCCCAGCACTCAGGAGGCAGAGGCAGGAAGATCTCCGTGATTTGGAGACCAGCCTGGTCTACAAGAGCTAGTTCCAGGACAGCCTCTAAAGCCACAGAGAATGCTATCTCGGAATCCCCCCAAAAAAGAAGAAAAGGGGGGAAGAGAAAAGAGATAAAGAGACAGAGGGAGCAGAGGGAGGACAGAAGAGAAGACAGAGACAGTAAAAGCCTTGTCTGCCCAGGGGAATACCAGGGAAGAGAGAGGGAAAGAGAGGAGACGAGGAAAAAGCATAAATGGGCAGAGGTCTTTCTTTTAGGGTTTTTTTGTTTTTGTTTTTTGTTTTTTGTTGGGTTTTGTTTTTTGTTGTTGTTGTTGTTGTTTTTGTTTTTGAGACAGGGTTTCTCTTTAGCTTTGGAGGCTGTCCTGGAACTTGCTCTGTAGACCAGAGCTGGCCTTGAACCCAGAGAGATCTGCCCGCCTCTGCCTCAGAGTGCTGGGAGTGCTGGGATTAAAGGCCTGAGGTCTTTCTTCTAAAGGGGTCCTTTGCATCTGGGCTGACCAGGGTACTGCCTGAGTGCATTCTGCCAGGTGACAGGGGCAGGCCAGCATAATGTCTGAATTCTTACACGGGGTGTCCTGGATCTTCTTGGCTTCTAGACCAGCCTGTCCTAAGACTCATAGAAGTCTGCCTGCTTCTGCCACCTGTGCTGGGATTAAAGGCGTGCACACCACAAGAACAGCACATTATTAATAACAGATACTCAATAAACATTTACAGAATTGACAAACTTACAAGGCATCTTTTTCCCAACTTACTGTAAGATTGGCGTACAAACCCACTTTTCCCCTGATGCTTCCTGAACTGGAAGCTCTTACACATCCCAGAACACCTAAAGTCCACACCTCTATGTCCGGCTGCACCCTGACTTTCAAAAAGGATGACGTCCTCCTCCAGAGCTCTTCCAGTCGGCAGATTCTGTAGGGCAGGGCCTGTGCCTTTAATCTGGGCCCCACCTGCTCTGGTCAGACAGGTTTGGAGACACAGGCAAGGGGAGGGAGACTGGGAAATACTGGCAGAGCCAGCCAGGAGCTAGGCAGTTCCTTTCCGGGGATCCTCCGCCTCTCCCTCCGCAGAGGTAAAGTAAGAGGGTATCATGGGTCCAAAGGGCAAGGGGAGGAGGGCCCTGGAGGTGAGTGAAGGGAAAGCCCTGACCAGGAGTAGTGACCTGGAGGGTGGCAGGGGAGAGACAAGAGGAAGGCATGGGGACAGCTACACTAGAGCTGAAAGTCCGAGTGGCGCCCAGCGCGGTGGAAGGGTGGGACTGGCAGGGGGGGTTTAGAAAGTGACTGGTCCCTGGAGTTGGGAACCAGGGACTGACTATCTGGCAACAGGTATCAGTGGCCAAGAGGGTTCCGGGCAGGGATCTGCAGGGCAGAGGGCAAATGGAAGGGTGAAAGGGCAGTTTCTTTATAGGGTGTTGGAAGTTGGAAAGAGGCTCTCAACCCAGTTCCTCCCATTCCCAAGCTAGGGTGGCCATGAGCCCAGGGGTTGGCAAGTGTGGGCGTAGACGGGGACCACGGCTTGTGCCCCCCATTGACTCACCCTTGTCCTGCTGGATGCCACTTCCTTTGAAATCTTTCCTCCATTTCAGCCCTCCCCTGCTGCCTCTGTCTCAACACAGTCCTCCCGCCTCCCTAGAGTCCCATGAGGCCGGCTGCTCTGGTGAGTTCCAGTTTGAGGCACTGTTCCGGGGCCAGAAGTCAGGGTATTTCCGCAGAGCTCACCCCACTCCCTATAGGATGATATCACCTTGGAGCAGACCTTAGAACTGAAGCGCACCATGACAGAACTGGAACCGGAGACACTGGCCCTGCTGGAAATGAAGGGGCCCGAAGCTCCAGAGAAGAGCCCACCACAGGCGCTAGTCCCCACTGTCCAGCAGCCCAAGGCAGAAGATGGGACCGAGTCCCCTGGAGCTGAGTCTCTCAGAGTGGGGTCTTCAGTTGGGTCTCCCATAGTCAGAGAGGGGCCTGAGGATGGTCCAGAGAGCACCATAAGTGAGGCTGCGACCTTGCCCTGGGGAACTGACCCCCAGCCCAGCGCCCCACTTCCAGATCCCCCAGGCTGGCGAGATATTGAACCAGAGCCCCTAGAGTTGGAGCCACTCACTAAGTTGGAGGAACCACTCACTACTAAGCCCGAGGAACCACTCAAAGATGATGCCAGCTTGCTCCTTGAAAACTCAGTTAGGGCTTTTGTGCCCATTGACCTACAGTGTATCGAGCGGAGGCCACAGGAGCGCATGGAGCGCAGGAATTTCCTGCCAGCCCGACTCAGCCACCCCGAGCCTCCAGAGTGCAAGTGGGCTGAGGCAGTTGTGAGACCCCCTGGCCGGTCCTGTGGGGGCTGTGGGAGCTGTGGAGGCCGCGAAGCACTGAGGGCTGTAGCCTCGGTGGTGGCTGCCCTCATTTTCTTCCCCTGCCTGCTGTACGGAGCTTACGCCTTCCTGCCTTTCGATGCTCCGAGGCTGCCCACCATGAGCTCCCGCTTGATCTACACCCTACGCTGTGGGGTCTTTGCCACCTTCCCCATCGTGCTAGGTGAGTCTGGGACCTGGAGAAGGGCTGCCTAGGAAGTGGACTAGGGAGGCCTGGTTGGGGTGGTCTCTCTTCATTCTGCTGGAACCCAAACCTGCCACTCCCTGCCCCCTCTCTTTCAGAGAGCGCTTGTGTCCTCTCGGCAGTCCTCTGAGAAAGCCGTGCCAGCCCTCCTGCCTTTTCTGACCCTGTGTGGTGTGTGTGCTTCCTCCCCTGCCAGGGCTCCTTGTGTACGGGCTGAGCCTGGTGTGCTTTTCTGCCCTCCGGCCCTTCGGAGAGCCCAGGCGGGAAGTAGAGATCCACCGGCAGTACGTGGCCCAGTCTGTGCAACTCTTCATCCTCTACTTCTTCAATCTGGCCGTCCTTTCCACCTACCTGCCCCAGGACAACCTCAAGCTGCTCCCCCTGCTCACTGGTCTGTTCGCAATATCTCGGTGAGTATGTGCTATGGTGTCCAAGGCTAGGGTAGGCAGGTGGACCTCTGAGTTCAAGGCCAGCCTGCTCTACAGAGTGAGTTCCAGGACAGCCAGGGCCACACAGAGAAGCACCTCCACCCCAAAAGAGAAAGGAAATGAACTGCCTGGGATTTAGACTCTGGACAACACAGAGCCGTTACTGCACTTAAACAGCCTCCTTTTCTAGTGGTTAAATGGCTCTGATCCCTTTGTCTCTGGCAGCAAATCTGCTTGTCAGAGAGCAGAACCTTGGTTAAGGGCACTGACCTCTTTACCCAGAGGCTAGTTCACTCTCATTGCTTTTCTTTCAATCAATTTGGAGCCATCAGGGAATTTTATTTTATTATGACACAGTCTCAAAATGTAGCCCATACTGACTGAAAATATGTAATTCAGGCTGGCCTCAAACCTACCATTATTGAAAGTGAGCCTTTGTTTTGTTTTGTTTGAGATGAGCTCGAGATGTCCTGGAACGCCGGGTGGTGGCGAACACCTTTAATCCCAGCACTTGGGAGGCAGAGGCAGGCGGATCTCTGTGAGTTCAAGGCCAGCCTGGTCTACAGAGCTAGTTCAAGGACAGCCTCCAAAACAATACAGAGAAACCCTGTCTCGAAAAACCATGTAGACCTGCCTTTGGCTCATGAGCGCTGGGATTAAAAATCTGGGCCACCACACTTGAACTGTCTAAGGAAGAGACCGGAGCAGGGCGTGTAGTGGCGTGCAGTGGCATGCAGTGGCATGTGGTCCCAGCCACCACTCAGGAAGCAGAGGCAGGAGAATCAGTACATGTTCCAGGCCATACAGGGCCACATAGTGAGACTCTAGCTCAACAACAAACCAAAAGTGAACAAACAAAGCAGTTGGGAGTGAGGGGAGACACTGGACTTGGGAGCTGGCTCGGTTAATAGAGTACATGCCTAGCATTCAGAAGGCTCTGGTAAGTGTGCCCGCAATCCCTTCATTTGGGAGGGGGAAGGCAGGACTGGGGGACTGAGGATATCGTTCAGTGGCAGACCACTTGCCTAGCTTTGTGAAGGTTTTTGTTAATATCTACAAAACAGAAATGACTCCAAAACTGTAGAACCGGATGCCTAGGGTGGGAGTTGAGGAGAATAGGGTGGGAATCAAAAAAGGAAAGACAATTTTTGTTGTTTGTTTTTATGCTTTTTCAAGACAGGGTTTTTCTGTGTAGCCTTGGCCATCCTAGAACTAGCTTTGAGGACCAGCCTGGCCTCAAACTCCTGAGTTTGAGACATCCGCCTGCCTCTGCCTCCTGAGTGCTGGGATTAGAGTGTGGCACTACCATCCAACAGGGGAAGAAAACATTAAAGTTGAATTGTCATTTAATTTTGGATCACATAAATGAACATTTAATTGTAATTTAATTAAAAAAGAAATTAGTTGGCTCGGGGCTGGAGAGATGGCTCAGAGGTTAAGAGCACTGGCTGCTCTTTGAAGAAGTCCTGAGTTCAATTCCCAGTAACCACATGATGGCTCACAGCCATCTGTAATGAGATCTGGTGCTCCCTTCTGGCCTGCAAACACTGTGTACTTAATAAATAACTCTTGAAAGAAAGAGAGAGAGAGAAGGAGGAAGGAAGGAAGGAAGGAAGGAAGGAAGGAAGGAAGGAAGGAAGGAAGGAAGGAGTCAATTGACAGGGTGGTGGTGGTGGTACATGCTTTAATTCCAGCACCTATGGAGGCAAAGGCAGGGAGATTTCTGAGTTCGAGGCCAGCCTGGTTTACAGAGTGAGTTCCAGGACAGCTGGGACTAATTAATACACAGAGAAACCCTGTTTTGAAAAGAAAACCAACAACAACAAAATGAAATTAATTTTGCCCACTTTATTTTTTTATGGTAGAAGTTTTTTTTGTTTAAGTTAGAAACAAGCTTGTTTCACATGTCAATCCCAGCTCCCTCTCCCTCCCCTCCTCCCTCGCCCTCCCTAATTTTGCCCACTTTAATTTTAAATTAAATGAAAGAGAAGACGGGAATAATATTCTCACTTTAAAGATGTGGGAAAGTAAACATTGTGAGCATATGTATAAACTGGGCGCTTGTAGTGCCTGCATGGCTCCTGCTCGTATCTGGTCTCCCACTGCTCATGACCGGTTGACTGGGCCCTGGAGAGTAGATAACGCTTGTCATGCTCCCACAGGTTGATCTACTGGTTGACCTTTGCTGTGGGCCGCTCCTTCCGAGGCTTTGGCTACGGGTTGACTTTCCTGCCGCTGTTGGCCATGCTGATGTGGAACCTCTACTACATGTTCGTGGTAGAGCCAGAGCGCATGCTCACTGCCTCTGAGAGCCGCTTGGACTACCCGGACCACATGCGATCGGTCTCCGAATACAGGCCGCGCTCTTGGGGCTGAGCAGGGGACTTTCAGTGCTTCCCTGAAACAATTGCAGGCCCGGCCTTTGCCCTTCAATGTGAGGAACCTTGCTACTGCCCCATCCAGTTCTCTCTTAGCTGTTGTTTTACTCCTGGAGTGCGAGAACCTGAGACTGGAGAAGCTCACTTCCGTCCAGGCCTCCCACTACCTCACTACCGGCTTCCTGTGGGCCAGGGGTCTCTGCCAGCTGCATAGATGAAAGTCAAGGAGATGGAAAACTGCCTAAGCCCAAGCGTAGAACTTGGAATCACATCAGATAAGGACTTAGACATCTTTGACACTAGATGAAAACCTCCCTAGGGGGCCTGGATTCAAGACCCTCTCTCTCTATCCGTGGCTTCAAGACTCTTTTTGCCTCAGTCAAGACTATTACAGCTGTTGCCTTCCCTCTCCCAACCTACATGGGTCCCTGTAACCTTCTACTTTTCAAACTTCCAAGAAATCCCACTGTAAAAGTGGGGGTTGGGTCCCAGCACTCGGGAGGCAGAGGCAGGCGGATCTCTGTGAGTTCCAGACCAGCCTGGACTACCAAGCGAGTTCCAGGACAGCCTCCAAAGCCACAGAGAAACCCTGTCTCGAAAAACCAAAAAAAAAAAAAAAAAAAAAAAAAGTTGGGGTTGGGGCAGAGAGATGAACCCTCCAGAAGGACTGTGTGTATATTCACATGTAGTGGCTGGATGGCAGAGTGGCTGCTTGCCCAGTGTGTATGTGTGAGTATGTAATAAATCACCGCCCGCCTCCCATGGCTCTTTCTTCCTGCCCCCCCCACACTCCCCAGGGCACAAGTCAGCTCCTAAGCATCATGACCAAGGGTGGAGGGTGGCTGACAAGAGCCTAGGGGAGACCACTGGGATTGTTGAGAAAATGTGCCCTCAAATAGAAATTGCCTTGCAAGCACGCCTCTCAGTCTTCTCATTTGCTAAAGCAGTTGGACATGGTGGTACATGTCTTTAATCCTGGAACTCGGGAGGGAGAATCTCTGAGTTTGAGGCTAGCCTACAGACTGAGTTCCAGGATAGCCATGGGGGGGGGGGCGAGGGAGGGAGGGAGGGAGATCTGGGCTAGAAAGATGGATGGCTCAGTGGTTAAGAGCACTTGTTGCTCTTGCAAAGAACCCTGGTTTAATTCCCTTTACCCATATAGTGGTTTACAACCATTCACAATTCCAGTTCGAGGGGATCTAGTGCCCTCTTCTGACCTCCAAAGGCAACACACACATACACATACACACAGAGTACACATCCACACAAGTAAGCAAAACACACATATAGTAAAATACATAAATCTCATTTAAAAATAAGAGAGAAACAGGAATCTTTCATGGAAAAAATGTCTATTTCATGCCCCGTAGGGCAGCCAAGCAGTCACTCTCATTGTAAGCCTTCAAGTTTTATCCAAGGGAAACGGGAGCAGCAAACGACAGAGGAGAAAACATCAGTGGTGTACCTTCCTTTTGTAGCCCTAGCCTCTCCCTAGGGTAGGAAGGACAATCACCCAGGGAGTCCAGGCTGGCTTCTGAGGGTCTGCAGAAAAGCAGGTCAACACTGACCCTCTACTCTCCAACAGTTTGAGGCACAGCAAGGCAGACGTGGTCCTGCCCTTCCCTCTGGAGAGTAGGTTTCAGTTTACGGACTGGTACTCGGAATGCTGCTTGTAGCGCAGCAGCAGAAACAGGCCTCCTCCCAGCAATATGAGCCCTGGAGTTCCCAGGGCCACTGCTATGATTCCGAGCACTAGTGGAGATAAGGCTTCCACTGGAGGGAAGCCCATTCCCAGAAGCATTGACCTAGATCAAGAAGGTTAAAAAAAAAAAAAGGTAAGCAAGCTTAGGAAGGAGGCTGAGGGGCCCAGCCTTCTCCGCTTTGACCTTTCTAAATCCTTGGTTCTTACCAGGAGAGGTAGTGTTGGTCCCAGTAGCCAGGGCCTGTGGGAGCCCCGAATGTCAGATTGAAGGCACAGAAGTTCTGGGACCCAAAGAAGGCTTGGACAATTGGTGAGGAAGGGAGGGAATAAGCCAAGGTAGCGTGAAGAGAGGAAGCCTGGCAGGGGAGGGCTGATTCCCGGTTCTGCTGCTTCTGAGCGAAAGCCACTGGTCGCCATTGCATGAAGCCAGATGGTGGAGAGCCCCACAACAACCGACTCACCTGGGGGCAAAGGCAGAGCAGGCAGGGTGAGAGGCACCAACCCGTGCCCATCTGTTTCTCCGCCTCTCCCAGACTGCATGCGTGTCACTAGCAACACCAGCAGTACAAGCGGTAAGGCCAGCACGAGTCCTCAGCACTGAGCGTACTTCTAGAACTGGCATGCTAGTTGTAGCGGGACCAGTCTCTCTTCTCTAGAGAGCATGAGACGGGCAGAGGCACAGCCTTGCCATTCTGCCCTTGCCCATTGTAGGCCTTCAGACCCTCCTGAACCCCAGGCTAAGAAGAACCCCATCTCAAGATCATGAAGCATTGTTTTAGTCTGCTTCCTTGGAGGGCAGAGGTGTCAGGCAATATATTAGCACAGCTCAACACTAAAAGCAGTCAGAGAAAGTGCTGTTAAATAATAAACGGGACCATGTGTGGTGGTGCATGCAGTTCTCAGGGGACAGAAGCAGATGGATCCCTGTAAGTTCAAGGTCAGCCTTGCTACATAGCAAGAGTTCTAGGCCAGTTAGGACTACATAGGGAGACCCTGTCTCAAACACCATCTCACCTCTTGCCCCCAAAACCAACCAACTAACCAACCAAACAAACAAACAAAAACAAAACCCTTAAAAAAAATAGGGGGTGCTGGCAGCTGGAATGATGGCTCAGTGACTAAGAGCTTGCTGCTCTTGCAGAAAACCCAAATTCAGTTTCCAGCACCCACGTCAGGAGGCTCACAACCATTTGTAATCCCAGTTCCAGGGTGTCTGACACCCTCTTCTCGCCTCCATAGGAACCTATGCACGCATGCAAACACACATACAAAATAACAAATCTTTTTAAAAAATAATAAGTGGCTGCTCGAGTTTTCTGGGGGTGCTGACAGCATCCCACTTTACATTCCCACGCATCTGCCTCCCACTGACCTGGAAGACAGGTGCATACTCATCATCGATGGAGTGCAGCTCTTTCACTGAGGGGCAGTCAAGGCCAGTACCCACAGTGGCTATCTCTAGGCCAAATAGGGAGTGGTTTCCACGAGGAGAAGCTCCATCCAGGGATACTTCTAGCTGGCAGGCATCTGCGGTGTGCAGGAGGCGAGGGGGCTGGGCAGGTCGGCCAGATCCAGAAAAGGCCTGGACCTAGGAAAGAGGAGGAGGCCATGTGGATATGGGGAGAATGGAGCTTCAAGGATTCTCCCATCGTCATCAATCAGCTTTTTGAGTTCCTAACCCACAACCTCACCTTGAAGGCCAGGCTGCCATTGGCAAATGCTCCAGTAGACTCATCTACAGGGTGGCCTTGAAAAATGGCACTCAGGGTGGCAAGATCCAATGAGTTGGTGATATTGTTCCAGGAGAACTCGGCCAAGGAGTACGGAGGATATGGTTTTCCTGAGGGCTGCGATGCCCCTTCGGACACCTTGGTGCTGTCAAACTCAAGCAGCTGGGGACAGGGTGGAGTGGAAGGGGGCTTGCCTCCCTCGGGCTTTCTCTGCATGTCTCTCCCACTCAACCCACCCCAAACTGCAACCACTTCACCCTCCCTGTCTTAAGCCCTTCCCTCTCCCTTGGGGTAGAATGGACTCTGTTCCTCCTTCTGAGCTCTTCAGCCCCCTCACCCTGGTGAAGACAAGAGCAGAAGAAAACTGGACGCTGTCCTTGGGGAGCACCATCAGACCCCCATGAGGATGAGGGGACAGCAGGAGACTCCAGTTGACACTCAGGACACTCTGAGTGGTGTTGGTGGCTACCAGCACCACAGCTGGAGGCCCCAGGGTGCTCCATACATAGTGCAGGGTGGAGTTGGTGCCCACAGCCCGGATATGAAGCAGGTTCGGGGCATTTGGCCAGCCGGAAATGACCTCCATGGATACCTGGTAGTGGGAGGGAGAGAACAAGACCAGGGATGGTCACGGGCAAGGAAGCGGCTTGTGGGTGGAGGAGAGGCCCTGGCAATGCCAGGGACAGCAAGGCTTTCGAGGTCTAGGCAAGAGCAATGTGTAGAAACCGAGGGATCCCGGAGTCAGGGACAGATTTAGGTTGAGAAGAAATAGGACAGACCCAGGATTACCCTGACCCTGGTGAGGAGGTCAAGGTTCAGGGCTGAGAAAGCTTTTTACATCTCCAAACTTGCCTGTCCTGGGCTATAATGGCCGAACCATGGTTGATGTCACCAGGAGGCAGGGAACAGTCATGCAAGCTTTCCTCCACAATCCCTCTCTGGGTTAACACTCTCTTGCATCCACCCTCCAACCCTCCATGCCCCACTCCAGTCATCATAGACAGCTTATATTTCTGGAAGCATCTATTACTTTAGTTCCAGGACCCTACCTGTCGAGTTTCTTCTCCCAGCAGGCCAAATGGAGCTGCACACACAAGACTCAAAAGGAGCCATGGGGTTGGGGTACAGGGGACCCAGCCCCAGGAAGGTCCCCAACAGCGGCACATACAGCCGCACTAGTCTAACTCAGCCGGAATCGGCTCAGCATCACATGACTCTCTTCTTCCTGATCCCTTTAGAGGGCGGGCCACCAAACCAGTTCTTAAAGAGACCGCATCCATTAACACAGATGTCAGCACAAGTTGGAATAGCATCAGGAAAGCTGAAGGTAGGTACATTATCTTTAACAGGTTGTCCTGCAAGGCATTTCAGACCAGTTGTGTAAACACACTCCTGCCTCTCCTCAGACACCCTGCCATTCCAATTCAGGTTACTTGTGCTGAGTATACCCAGATGTAAATTCCATGTGGAATCTGTACATTAGTACTCTGTGGTAGAAAGGTATAGAGAGGAACTGTTGTATAAGATTGATTTAAAAGAACCTTTGCAAGCCAGGCAGTGGTGGCACACGCCTTTAATCCCAGCATTCGGGAGGCAGAGGCAGGCGGATCTCTGTGAGTTCGAGACCAGCTTGGTCTACAGAGCGAGTTCCAGGACAGCCTCCAAAACAATACAGAGAAACCCTGTCTCGAAAAACAAAAACAAAAAACAAACAAACAAAAAAGAACCCTTGCCGGGTGGTGACTCATGCTTGCTTTTAATCCCAGCACTCAGAGGCAGAGGCAGGAGGATCTCTGTGAGTTCGAGGCCAGCCTGTTCTACAGAATTAGGTCCAGGACAGCCAAGGACACACAGAAAAATTCTGTCTTGGAAAACAAAACAAAAAAGGAACCCTCTGGAAGTCAGCAAGATGACTCAGTGGGTAAAGGTGCTTGCCCCAGGTTTGACATGAACTGGATATCCAGGACCAGCATGCTGGAAGGAGGGAAATAATTCCCAGAAGCTGTACCCTGACTCACACATGCATTCTGCAGCATGTGTCACAAAATGGATAAGATAAAACGTATAATAATAGTAATGATAATTAGTGAATCCTCAGGTGGTGGTCTCAAAAAACAGAAACAAGCTTTTGGAAGACTGAGGTAGGAACCATGAGTTTGAGGCCAGCCTGGATTACAAAGACAGCTCCAGCTAGAACGAAGAACTTCCTTAAAAACAGACAAATTATACACAGCAACAACAAAAACAAAGCCCAGAAGGGCTAGATAGCATTCATGAAGTCCTGGATTTCCTCTCCAGAACCATATAAAAACAAGATGTGACCAGCCTGATCTACAAGAGCTAGTTCCAGGACAGCCTCCAAAGCCGCAGAGAAACCCTGTCTTAAAAAACAAAAACAAAACAAAACAAAAAAACAAGATGTGGGGACTGAAGAGATGGCTCAGTGGTTAAGAGCACTGGCTGCTCTTCCAGAGGTCCTGAGTTCAATACCCAGCAACCACATGGTGGCTCACAGCCATCTGTAATGAGATCTGGTGCCCTCTTCGAGCCTGCAGGCAAACATACAGGCAGAACACTGTATATATAATATAAAAATCTTTAAAAACAAACAAACAAACAAACAAAAAAAAAAAACAAACAAAGAAGATGTAATGCCAGCCTTCCAGAAGTGGAAACAGGAGGATGAGAAATTCAAGTTCTGGGGCCTGTGAGATGACTCAGCAGGTCTGATGACCTGAGCTCAACCCCAAGGACCTACATGGTGGAAAAGAAAACAAACTTTTTTTTTGAAACATGGTTTCTCTGTAGCTTTGGAGTCTGTGCTGGAATCATTCTGTAGACCAGGCTGGCCTCGAACTCACAGAGATTCTCCTGCCTCTGCCTTCCCGAGGGCTGGGATTAAAGACATGTGTCACTATGCTCAGCTGAGAAAACCAACTTCTGAAAGCTGTTCTCTGGCATCATACACACACACACCCCAGAGGTTTCCTTTTGATGATGTATTTATTGGATTCCCAGATACGAAGGTTTTCTTATTGGAAGAGCTCACAATTTTATTATAAAGTTACCACAGATAATAAGCTACAAGAGCAATGCAATAATTTATCAAAACATTTGACTGAAGGCATGCTCTTTTGGCTTTTTTGAGACAAGGTCTCTACAAAGCCCTGGCTGTCCTAGAACTCAACTATACAGACCTGTGCACCACCCTGGAAGAACAAAAGTGTCCTTAACCACTGAATCATCTCTCCAGCCCCAACTTAAATCTCAACTGTCAGACAAATAAATATGCATGGTACAAATTTGAACCAGGTGTCTTGGCACAAGCCTTTCATCATTTAACTAGCCAGGGCTACATAGAAGACATTTCAAAGATTACCTGAGAATGCTAACTATACCCCCAACCTAGTAGCAAGGTTTTGTTGTTGTTTTCTTTTGGTTTGGGGGGTTATTCTGAGTAGACTTGACTGTCCTGGAACTTACTGTGCAGACCATGCTGGCCTTAAACTCAGATCTGCCTGGGATTAACATCATGTACCACCACTGCCGCATAGAATTTGTTTTTTTTTCAGACAGGGTTTCTCTGTGTAACAGCTCTAGTTGTCCTGCAACTCCCTCTGTAGACCAGGCCTGCCTCGAACTTAGAGATCCGCCTACCTCTGCCTCACAAGTGCTGGGATTAAAGCTGTGTGCCACCACCACAGGCAGGATCTGTTTTAAAGACTATTTTATTCATGTGCATGCCACATGTGTGGGTGTATCTGAGGAGATTTAAGCAGGACTTGGATCCACTGGAGCTGGAGTTAACTTTGAGTCACCCAATGTAGGAACTGAACTTGCTAACCCTGGGAGAGCGGCAAGAACTGAGACAGGCACTACTCTGTAGACTCTTACCCACTGAGACAGGGCACTACTCTGTAGACTCTTACCCACTGAGACAGGCACTACTCTGTAGTCTAGACTCCTATCTAGACTTTTACCCACTGAGACAGGGCACTACTCTGTAGTCCAGACTCCTATCCACTGAGACAGGCACTACTCTGTAGTCCAGACTCTTACCCACTGAGACAGGCACTACTTTGTAGTGCAGACTGGCCTTAGACCCAAAAGAATCCTGCTGTAGCAAGTCTTTCTCTGTACTGCCAGCTCCCAAAAAGACTTATGAAAGCTTGGCCTTACTTTAGGCTTGTCCCACTCCTATAATTGAAATTAACCCGTTCATTTTAATCTACATTCTGTTGGATGACTCATTGCCTCACCTCTCCACATTCCTCATACTGCTTTTTCTGCATTTGGTCCATGATCCAGTCTTTCTTCCGAGACCTCTCCAGAAGTCGCCCCACCCCCCTTTTCTTTTTTTCGAGACAGGGTTTCTCTGTATTGTTTTTCAGAGGCTGTTCTGGAACTCGCTCTGTAGACCAGGCTGGCCTCGAACTCACAGAGATCCGCCTGCCTCTGCTGGGATTAAAGGCGTGGGCCATCAATGCCGGCTTCCCACCCCTTCTTCCTGCCTAGCTATTTGCCATTCAGCCCTTTCTTAAACTGATCACAGTGACACCTCTTCACAGCTTCCTGAATGCTGGTCTTTTAAGTTAGTGTGCTGTCTGTGACTGCAGGAGCACCTGGAGGTCAATGGACAATGTTTGGGAACCGCTTCTCTCCTTCCACCCACTATGGCATTTGGGGACCCAACAGTCTTACTATACTAGCTCTGCACATATTTTTTTGTTTCAGAGACAAGTGCAGCACACACTGGTCTCAAACTTGCTATGTAGCTGCGATGTTACTGTGGACAGTCAACCTTACAGGATTTGGAAGGAGCGGAGAAACAAGCCTCAAGGCACAATGCTTAAGAAAACACACTCAGCCAGGCCGTGGTGGCGCATGCTTTTGATCCCATCACTTGGGAGACACAGGCAGGCAGATCTGTGAGTTCAAGGCCAGCCTGGTCTACAGAATTCCAGGACACTCAGGTCTGTTACACAGAGAAACCCTGCCTCAAAACAACAACAACAACAACAAAAAAAACAAAAAAAACAAAAAACCAAGCCCCCTCTCCCCCACAAAGTGATCTCAATTTGTCTTCTTGCATTGCTAGGAGGTAGAGATGTGGCCCAAGATTGAAAAAACAAAAACCACATGACAACTGTCTCAAATGTCTTAGATTTAATCATTGGAAGCAAACTAAATGGAAAGCTTACAATAGAGAAGAGATACATGTCAGTGCTTTTTGCAAACTGAGATGGGACAGACTGGGGCTGCCCCTCAACTTGATCCTTTGCAAACAAAGATGTCCACAGTGTTCCTGGAACTCTGGCTCAGGAAAGGGGAGACCGCTGGTTGTGCACATTGAAGTCATCTTGCTCACCACTCACTCCTGGCCAGCATCTGGAGCACTGCTTTGCCGGCTCTGGTCATCACCCTTCTTCTTGTGGCCAGAGACAATGTCATCAATCCGCAGAAGCAGAACTGCAGTCTAAGAGAAACCAGTCCAAAGAGGTCAGCAGAGAAGGGAAAGACACTGCCTTCTTTTAGCAGTATCTCCTCCCACAGAATTACCATTTTATCTGGAATCTTCCCTTTAGAGTTGTGAATGAACAAAGCAGCCCTCCCTAAGCAAGGGATGTAGCTTGTGCCTTGTTACACCGTTTCTAAGAAGCTAAAGGTAAGCAGGGAAATGGACTTCCTTGGGAGCTCTTTGGGGAATACTCTGCCTTTGATGGCCCCTCCCTTCAGACAAAGCAGGTAGCTGTCTGTCAGCACACGCACACTTGGGGAACTTACCTCCACTGCTGTTTTGTACGTCTGTAGCTTCACAGCCAGCGGCTCCCATATACCCAGCTCTTTCATGTCTACCAAGGTACCAGTCTCACCATTCACACCCCAGGTCTCACAGTTCTCCTGAGTGTGCTTGGCCTGCAGGTGGGACAAGCATGTGTGCTTATGAGCATACACAGAATGGCAGAAAACAAAAACATCTCCTTAGGCCAAACACAGCTCGCCTTGCCCTGGCAAGGCATGCGCACAGAGAAGAACTCACCCGCAGGGAGGTAAGCAGCCGAATGGTGCTGGCCCCACAGTTCTGGATCAAGGTGCGCGGGATGACCTCTAGCGCCTGGGCCACGGCTCTATAGGGCCATTGTTCCACACCAGTCATGGCCTTCGATTTTTCTGTCAAGGCATGGGCCACAGCCATCTCCGAGGCTCCACCAC